TATTAGAACTCAATTGCTGACGTTTCGGCGGTTTCGCCTTCTTCAGAGCCTGGAAAGGTCAAATTGAGATGCGATCTACTCAGCCAAACGCTTTCATAACCCTAGCAGATAAAACTTGATAAATCGATTTGTATTCGCATAAGAAACAGCTTCATTCAAACACCTACCGTTTATTTGTTGTAAGTATTTAAGTTAGTTGGTGGATAGCCGCCGCACAGAGTAATACATGGTCGATAACTGGGTCCATGTCAGATCATTGGATCAGCCTGAGGTATGGCGCTAGGTCACGCGTGATGACAAGACACTCCTCCTTGCGGTTCATTTTTGAATTTTTGGCATTGATCCAAAACGCTTCAAGAGTTTTTCGCGCTGATGTTTTCGATTCCTGCTGATGCCGAGGTTAACAGAAAGTCGGTCATGGGAATTACTACGTAAAGAGGAATTCTTTCGAAATAACATTTACTAATTTTAATAGATCTCACTAGAAATTCGTCGTGTTTACAATATCGAATTCATTTTGAAGCTGTCTGTTGGCAGGATGATTGCCCATCGTCTCTATCAGTCTGGAATCCTTTCTTTTACGTTCTCTAAAAACTCCTTGTTGTTTACAATGCGAGAAATACGCACAGTTCATGACTTTCTGCTCAAAAACGGTTGGACATTATATTTCTATCAATGTGACTGCCCGTTTTTTCTTGGATTTGATCGCAACTCAAATTTTAAAAAAGGAATGCAGTAGTACTGTGGATTCGAAAAGGACGATGTAAAGGAAAAAGGATAAAGCTCTCCGCGTTGATCAATCCCTGAGGTATACGCTATGCATTCGACTTCATTAGGTATCGTTGGAGGTGCATATCTGGCTTTGACAATGACTCGCGGTGGCCTATCGATGTATCGAGCCAGTGCTGTTATCCTCCCAAACAAGTCTGGTACCAATTTGCTGACCCCGGAGGGATGGAAGGCTTGGTGAGCTATGGGCGCAGGGATCAATTCCACGTGTATGTCGCAATGGCGCCTCCAACCACTGCGCCACACGCGATGTAGAGCCTTTGATTTATTAATTCCACGTATTCACACATGTCTCAACGAATACCGAATTTCCTTTAGCCTCGGTGTGACCAAATGTACTCTTTCGTTGATAAACTAACAGAAGGTTGGTAAACAATTTCGTTCGGCTAACGTGTCGTGATATTCGCTTTTCGCAGTTCTCAACGAAATTCGCTCTTGGGTTTTTTTTGTGCGATCTCCAATAGCCTTTTTGTTCGTACGCTGTTAGCTCTCGAACAAGGGATCTTCTGAAACTAGCACTTATTATCAGCTGGGTGGACGAAGTACGTTTGTCGCTAAAGAAACTAAGATTTTCTTCGCTTCGATCAACACGCTTGGCTATCGTCGAGGTCTGCTCTGAGCATTTTGTTGACGTATGGAGTCTTTTGACAAGTACTTCATCGTTTTTTAATCTCGTAACAAAAATCCATGTCATCAATTTTCGTATGGATTGTGTCATTTGACAATTTGTAGTAACCAACGAGGGTTTGTTTTCTTTCCCGAAAGCGGATTTTCTCAAAAAACGTCCTTGTTCTACTTCACCGCTGCACAATCACTTTCAATATTGGTGCTGTATCCTATTCCAAATTTCTTCACCTAAGGTATTTCCTATCATACTAGTGTTTATGGCTCCAATAACAAATTTTTTAGTTTTCTTAGATTTATGAGAACATTGTGTATACATTTATTTTTACGCCGACGCTTATACCTCTTTCCTCTTATCGGATAGTCTTCATGTTTTGAAATCATTTAGAATAGGGCTGATTTACAAAACAGTGAAAGAAAGCTGGAATTTTGTCGCAATATCACTCGGTACAGAACCATTTTTTTTACAAGGAACGAAAATGTAGCAATGCTCTTTCTACTTCTGTTCAGCGAACACGAGGTCCTATTCTATTTCTTTATTTACGCACAAGCTGACGTTTCGGTGGATTTCGCCTTCCTCAGAGCCTGGAAAGGTCAAGCTGGAAGCAATCTATTCGGCCAAACACCTCCATAACCAGACAGAGAAAACGCTAAACCAAGATTTCAATCACATTTAGCACAGCTCGGCACACTCACCGCTTTCTATGGGTCTTCCACGGAATATGTCGCGTGAAGACGAACCGCACAGAATTCACATGGAAGCGTAATGTGCCTCTCCCATCAGAATAACAAGTTTATATACTGTCCAATATCACGCGTGATAGTTAGGCATTTTTCCTGCGGTTCATGTTCGGATTTCTGAAATTAATCCAGAACTCCTCGAGAGTTTTGCGCGCTTGCGTTTTTGATTCCTGTGCAAGGATCGTGACACGAACTTCAATGTAACACTAACTGTAACAATGTTGCTGATTTTTTTTCTGTTTTAAGCGAATGATAAATTGAGGGGAAATGTTTTGCGGTAAGGCTTGGATTTTCCAGCTCAACTTTGCTTTCTGCTGCCAAAGAACTGGCGATGGATCAGAACCAGTGGCGAGAACGAAAGACGTCCATCCACCTCAGTCAAGCCAAAGAGCAAATAGTAAGCAATTTGCAGCTAGTATTTATTCTATCGTAATGATTTCATAAAAATTTCATGAAGAAGACTTGGAGTAGAGTTAATATTTGTTGTTACAGCTGTTTCTTAGGAAAACGTTCACGCGTGTAATTGACAAAAATCAACAACTAAAGTTAATTGTTGGACAAAAGCTGGACTGTCTAAATAATAACACAAAAAACAAAAGCAATGAAGCTGAGATATGAGCAAAACATGGAATTCCAGGTGAGCTTCGCACTCGCGGTTATCCTTTCTGGATGCTCACTTGTTATCCACTGCATCATCAAGGCGCTTACTTTGTCTTTCTCTCAGCCGTTTTTTTAGTATAATGGTGTTATCATCAGTCACCCATCAACTGGAAAGCGGAGAAAAGAAACATCGTTATTTCGACTGCACGTTCAACTCTGCTGGGTTCAATGCCATTTTGTGCTTTCTAGATTATTCCCGTTTATGGGTGCTTTCTGGTAACCCGATTAGGGTAAAAAAAAACTCGATGGGCGAAAGGGAAAGCAGGGGTTCAATGGTGCAGTAGACAACAGTGGACAACACATGATCACCTCCAAAAGGGTAATCGAGGGTTCAAAGCTCACCTGGAGTTCCGAGTTTTGCTCATATCTCAACATCACTGCAGTTTTACTATACGTAATGTTCCGCTGAAAAAAATAATAGGTAGTAAATAAAAGTTTAGCGCAAAAATGTCACACTCGTGCAGCGCAATGGATAGAGGTGCCGTGTAATGAACACAAGTTCCATTGCTTAGACCTCGCATTGCTGTTTAGGCGACATCTGCTTTTAATCGTCTCCACTCTGCTGCACAGTTATATGCATGAGGAATACTTCAACGATAGATCAATGTCGAACGCTTCACCCTTTGTCAATTGTGCAATATGAATAATTAATATTTGATACTTGAAAGGCTCGTCCTCACTGGTTGTGTCGGCGTTGGCATAATCTCCATTTTTTGGAGATTTGCTGGTTAAGCCATTGTGGTTCCTTGGAATCCCGAGGTCACCCTGGATAAAGTCTGCTCCAGGTCTTTACCACCACGAACAGTCGCAGCCCATGTGGATCAAAAGGAGATTTGCCACCATGCGACTTTGATACTAGAACGGTAGTGGATCCTGGTATTGGTTTACTCTTAGCTAGACTTTCTGATGGAAACGCCGGACTACTTCTCAGTTTAGGAGACTTTACCAGGGAGACGAATCCTCCTGCTGTACATCGCAGCCCGACAGCCAAGAACACCGCTCAGCCACGATGAGGCTGTAAACCGTTGGGAGGCAATATAAATATTGTTTTGATATCAAAAGCGCTAGATCAACTATATGGTTTTTTACTTGAGCGGTGCCAAATACAGTGTGGATCTTATCGTTCCGTTTATTCGATTCATTTCCTCACGTCTATTATCCCCAAACATCTTCGAATTTGCATGTGGATTCGACTACTCTGTGAGAGATCGATTCTACTTGTAATCCAGGAATATCTATTCGTAACGTTTGTAAATTTTCAGCACGAGCAATGGCAAGAATTTATGGATTGGTGGGCGCTATTCTAATCCCGGAATAATGAGGGCATTTATTTGTCGGTGCGGTGTCGAACCAATGACCTCACTCATATTATTGCACGCCGCCTCACTTTCAATTGTGCATCCCACACCGCTGTACTTTAATTAAGTACTAGGTATTACGTCAATGAGGAACACAAGCTGAAACTGAAGGAAATTGTTGGAGAGCGTTCTATTTTTCTGGTTTCTCTAGTCCAAATGATCTCAAATCTTAGAATTTGAGAGCTGCTTTTATCTACGATTGCTCAAAGCGTTGCCTTAATTGACACCGTATTCTTTATGTGGTGTTCAGTTTTCATAAATTCTTTTCCGTATTTTCTGTGATTTAGTTCGGTCCGAACGCATGGTATCCGTTTCGTGGTCTAACTGAGGAATTCAAGCGACGTTTAGCTGTCTATCCATCGGACTTTATCGATGGCATCAATGGTCATCGTACGATGCAAAAGCTCTTCTCTACGGTTGTTTTCCTCTATTTTGCATGTCTTCTGCCAGCTATTGCCTTTGGAGTGCTCAACGATGACAATACTAATGGCGGAATCAGTAAGTAAATATTATGCAACGTCTGACTTTAGAAAGAAAAAGCATTCTAAAGCTGGGTAACTTAGTCGTACTTCTTTATACATCAATGTAACATTTTTTAAAGATATTCATGAAGGAGATCTCAAAGCACCTGCAGTAGATCTTGACACTGAGAGTAACTTAATATAATACACTGCTAAACATTGTGGACCTTTTAAACCCTTTTTGAGTACGCTGTTCTAAAATGAGCGCAAAATTTTCTTATTATTAACTGCGCTACCTGCTATCGTTGTTTCTTACAGAAAAACTGCTTCTGGTGCAATACTCTGCTGCTGTGCTATAATACTTTGATCTCCCAGCTTCCTTTAATATGAATTTAATGTGAAGGCATCATATTTTTCGTAGAAACGTAACCAAGCCCAACTTGTTCATTTTGTTCACTGTGCTAACTCCTAGCACAAAGCTTCTTCCGGCACCCTGCTGTTTCTTCTGTTGTTATTCGAATGAGCTTCAACTCACTAGACGTTGCGAAGTTGAATATTTGTGGTTTCCAAAACGGGTGCAACAGAAAAAGGAAGAAATAGTTAATTGTAATGTCCACTTGAATAAAACATCCCTCACAAAATGCTTAAGAAATTCCCATGACCGACTTTCTGTTAACCTCGGCATTAATTGATAATTCAATGTTTTTCATCAATAAGCAGACACGAGGTTGTTAATATAGAATTTATTAGAACACAATTGCTGACGTTTCGGTGGTTTCGCCTTCTTCAGAGCCGTTTATTTGTTGTAAGTATTTAAGTTAGTTGGTGGATAGCCGCCGCACAGAGTAATACATGGTCGATAACTGAAATTAGAGATGCTTAAGAGGTGCTTAAAAGCTAATGCTTAAAAGCTTAAGAAATTCATGCCTCAAGTACGTAATCATTCCGTCGTCTTCCTCTGGTGATAGAAATTGCGAGATCTAAAGAAACTTTCATTGTGGCACATCCCACTTTCAACTATTTTGTTTCCTTATCGTTTAACTTTTCAGATGTTAGGAAAGTGATCATTGCTCAAGCTATTGGTGGTATTTTCTTCTCGTTGTTTGGCGGTCAACCGATGATTATTTTGCTCACTACCGTACCATTAGCAATATACATTAAAGGTACCCCTCACTCTATTTGCCTCTATTGTGTGTGTGTGTGTGTGTATATGTATGTGTGTATGTGTGCAGGTTTGTGTGTATATGTATGTATGTGTGCATGCGTGCGGGTTTGTGTATGTGTATGTATGTGTGTGTGTGTGTGTGTGTGTGTGTGTCCTCTATTGTGTGTGTGTGTGTGTATATGTATGTGTGTATGTGTGCAGGTTTGTGTGTATATGTATGTATGTGTGTGTGTGTGTGTGTGTGTGTGTGTGTGTGTGTGTGTGTGTGTGTGTGTGTGTGTGTGTGTATAGCGGGCGTTTGTGTGTTTTACAATGTGTCTTTTTAAGATCTCCGCACAATTGTGAGCTCATTTTTATTTTTACAGTGATTTACAAAATCTCCGAAGAACTTGGTTATGATTTTTTTGCTATGTACGCATGTGTCGGTTTATTCTGTCAAATGTTTCTTGTATTATATTCGGCAACCGAACTATGCAGTCTTATGAAGTTAGCGACACGGTAACTGGCTACTACTTATTTTTTTCATCCATGTCTTTTAATCGTTGTCAGAGTTTTCTCGAACTTTTCGTTTGTGCTGAATAAGTGTACTTTTCCAGCTCAGCGGAGGAAATGTTTTCATTATTTATTGCTATTGCGTTCACAGTTGAAAGTATAAGGGCCATACATAACAGTGAGTATCATTTCTTTCGTGTTGCTTCGAAAAAGCCTGATCTATTCTGAGTTACAATGCACACCATTCATTGATGGCGTCTCCGTGATTCACCGACAGTTGAGGTTAAAGCGTAGTGATCATTGGTCACATCCGTTTAACAGTAGTTCTATCTATACTTTAAAAAATACTTGAAAACAAACCAGTGTGGCTTCGTTATATACTGTCTTTATTTACCTTTATATTTATATATGGACGCCTAATTCCTCATTTCTTTGTCGCTACCTGCTTTTCCGATAGTGAGCTTCAGAGGTAAAACGATGTAAGGTTTGAGAAAAGCCCGCCATCATCGATGCTTCAGACGGCCTTGTTTCACTTACCGTCTAACTGACTACTTATGAATAATATTTAAATAACACTGATACATAACACTTTTTATTTCGACAACTTACATTTATCTAACCTTTTTATATTTAGTATTTATCAAAAACTATAGTGGCTGTGATGCGACTAATAGTGATGAGAATACAACCGCCTTCAATTTCACGTCCGCAGTAATCCAGGTATGATCGTAGATTGCAGTCTGAAGAAAATTCGCGTAAAATTCTTTACAATGGTATTAATATTGATCACCATTTGATCATTTGTACCCTTTACTTTTCATACTTGTTTTTACTATTTTATTATATGCAAGTCGACATTACGTGTACCACGTTTTGAGTAGCCCAGCACTTGCATTCGATTCGTTTCCTCGTGTCCACCAACCACTATGTTTTTCGACACTTTTTTACATGTCGATTCAGTCGCTGCTTGAAGATGTTTTGTCTTCTTCACGAATATCGCTGAATGCCAGTTGAATCGATTTTTTCCCTGAATTCGTGAGATAGCCGTGCTTGGGTGTTTTTACGCGAATTAGGAGAGCGAGATTGTCGCCGACATGGCTGGCACCACGTCTTCGTCTCCGAAAGAATTAAAGGCTTGGTGGGCCAGGTGCCGCGTCGAATCGGACTGGGTAGGCTGGGCCATCCGAGTAGGAAGCGGGATGACTACCACTATGCTACCCACTCCTATCCTTTATATAATCAAGCAAAAGCACTCTGCAATAAACAAACACTGTAATTTCGGGAAGCCTTCATGGAGTATAACTCGTATGAAATGCTGAGATATTTGATATTTCATTTCATTCCCATGGATCTCCCCTACTGAATGATCTCCAGCCGGAGACTATGTGGCGCGTCCACAGGTGACGAATAGCAGGATAATCGCGGACCAAAAGCACCTTCTGCTTCTATGAGACGTTGGATAACCCAGGTTATGGAATGTCTATTTCAGCTGCGCCGATTTGAGAAATACCTTTTGCATTTACGTAGATATTTTCAGGAATGCGCACATTAGTGTATTCTCATCTATGCAAATTGTATTCTACCACTGAGTGTGGCCTAAAGTCTGATCAAATGAATGAGAAATACATGGGAGGCACATAGGATTCACCTCCAGTAAATAAGATTATACACGCTACGAGCACGCTAAACGTGTGAATGAAAGAAAACGATCGTTTTATTTAACATCTCCACGTCAGAGCAAATAAAAAAGCAGATAATTCGAAAGTTACTAAGCGACCTCTGTTTCCATAAACACTGGAGTTGATGCACAATGTAGAGACTAATGAACCGTAAGCAATTACCAACATACATCAGAACTGGTAAAGATATGCGGAGAAAAGATAAAAGAAGATCTTAAAAAGAGAAAATTAGCAGTAATGGGTGAAGCTGAAAAGGTAGGGAATAGTATATGCGGCTCACGCCGCACCTTCGCCAATTGCAAAACCAAAATGATAGCTCTCTAACGCCTGGACGGAACAGTTACAGCTTCCAGATATACAATTTGAAAAATATTTCACGATCACTGTTCTCGTCTTTCCAACAGTTTCATTCTCCATATGAAATATAGGAAGATGGATATATCGTCTCATGGTTCCCTGTTCCGAAATCGGGCCTGCCATTTTGTTAGTGAAGAATCCAAGAACACTTGAACTTCACAGGATAGCCAACACCTAAACACCTAAAGAACCTTCCACAAAATTTCATCAACAGACTCTTTATACAGTACCTGCCAGAATCTAAGGTTCCTATTCAATAGAAGATCGGCGAGACTGCGTTGTCGTTCGAGAAAGGTGACCTTCACAATAACGGCAACTATTTTTAAATCTGCTGTCTCTCATCTATAAACTCTTCAGTCGGGCCATCCTCAACGGTGGAAGAATATTGAGGAGGGAAAGCTGCCTGAGCAAACAGGGTTTCGTTTCGAAAACGATTCACTACGATGAACTAAATCCACACGAAGACAAGACTCATTGAGGCATTGCAAGAGCGCTAGAAACCGCACTTCCTTATTCGATTTAAAGGAAACGTTTGTTGATCAGCTGAGCCAAAAGTAACCGTAGAAGCTCTGGAACGCCACGGTCTCTCTACTCAATATATAAGAAATCTTCATGAGCTATATAAAAATTTCACAACAAGAATCATTTGCAAAACTCCGGACCGCAGGTGTCTGCAGTGGAGAACGAACGCGCTATTGTCCTTTCCGCGGAGTAATGCGTTCACTACCACACTATGCAGGTCCTTCGTTTTGCTTGAAACATCCTTACTACCTCTACTACTCCCTAGTAAGGACGATAGCGCGTTAGTTCCCCACCGCAGACGCCTGCGGACCGGAGTTTTGCAAATATCTCAGCATCATTTTAGTTGTATTTCACATGATACCCTGCCGTTAAAAATTATAGTAGGCAGTAAATAAAAAGGTTAAAGATATCACCATTGTGTTGTGCGAGATATTAACATAGACGCCAGAACAGGGGTTAGGCAAGGCGATACAATTCCACCCAAATCATTTCCTACCACTCTCCAGAACGTCATGATAAAATTTGAATGAGACAATATGGGTGTGAAAATTCGATGGTCGGCAATTACACCATTTTCACTTTGGCGATGACATTGCTTTTATAACACGAAAGGTTAACCAGGCGGAACGAATGTTAACAGACTTTGATAACGATTGCAAAAAAATTGGTCTCTCAATGATTTTAAGAAAGCGATGTTCATGAAGAACCGATTGTTTTCGCATTCGCTATTCACACTCGACGGAATGTGTAGCTCCGAGTGCTCCAGCTACGTCTGTCTAGGTCGAGAAGTTAATATGATGAACGACTTAGCTTCCTAGTCAGAGAAAAAGGATGTAATTAGAAAAAGAAAAAATTTCCGATTCTGTGCACAACTTTTGGATTTCATGACTCCTTCTGTCTCATCGTATGCAAGGGAAACCTTATCGCTTATATGCAGCATTGAAGTTCACTCTGTGCGGACGAAAACGCGGTGCAATGCACGACAATCTCAGCAAACCTTGTAACGCCAGTGGGAGAAAGGATCCGAAGTTGGAACCTATGTCCACGGTCGAAAATCTAAGACACCATTCCACATGCCAAATTGTCGGAAATAAGGTGGATTGGACACGTAATAAATGCATATGAACGACAACCGATACATAAGAACCGCACGCGGCTTGATTCCTCGGGATAACAGACGAACAACGGGAAGACCACCAGCCAGATTGACCAGACTTCTTAACGAAAACTCTAGAAGAAAGCTATGATGTTCAACAGGTTTCTAGAGGGAGCAGAACCCATTGAGCTACTCTTGTTTTCGACAAGAAAAAATGAAAGATTTGCTGACGCCTGCTCGAGTCTCTCGACGAACAAGCGATACAGGTGATTTACTACATGATCTATCGAAACTCCTATGACGACATGATCCAATGCGTAGATAAATAAAAAAGATAAGGCTGTCGGTGTTGATCAATTTTTGAGGGATGTGTCATGCATTCGACTTCATCAAGCATCGTCGGAGGCGATTGAATGCACATCTGGCCTTTACAATGACTCGCGGTGGCCTTCCGATATATCAAGCTAGTGGTGGTATCCTCCCAGGCAGGTCCTGGTATCAATTTGCCGACTCCAGATGGACGGAAGGTTTGGTGGGCCATGGACGCAGGAATCGATTCCACGTGTGTGTTGCACTGCGCCTCCGACCACTAGGCCACACGCGTCAATGCGTTGACAGTTTGTCAAAATTTCGTATTATTGAATGTATCAATTATTTACATTCCGAATAGTTTTTGAGATTTTATTCCCTTATTGAGAAACTTTACTGATATATACCGGATTGATGTTTTCAGGACAGCGGTGTGTTATGTCGGCGTGACACCTCAATACTCTATATGCTGCTCATGTTCGGAACGTTGTGGCTTGGTCTTTTCTTGTACAATTTCCGAAAAGTATGTCACTTTTCTGCTAGTGATATCTTTTTTCGTTTTTTTCTTCCCTTTTTCTTCTTCATTTTGTCTCCTTAGTTTTTTTCTTTTTCTTCCCGTCTTATTCGTTTTTGTCTTTCTTCTTCTTTCTCTTCTTCTTCGCAGTTACATTTTAGGAAAGTTTATTTTCAACTAAAGAATTTTTAAGGCGAAGGAAACAGTCATATGAGTGGAGTAGCCAACCAAACTGTTCCTGTTCTTCTTTCGATCTTTATTTCGTTTTCTTCTCTGTTGTTTCCCACTCTTCCCACTTATCTGCTTCTCTGTTCGTCCACGTCACTTAGTTCACTGGACATCATTTGTCCAGCCAGCTGACGATAGCGTGTTATCACGTATCTCAATATGGAATGCTCGTTTTCGTACGGTTTTGCCACATGGATTTTCATTGTTGCCATGCCACAGAACAAATTTCAAATATGGCAATTAAACAGTTTATATGTAACAATAACAATGTAGTACTAATGACATCGCTATTAAAAGACCTTACTTAGTTGGATAGTTGAATGGGCCGTCCTTGCTAATTGTGTGGGCACCAGTATAATCTTCATTTTTTTTGGAGTTTTGTTGATTTAACCGTTCTAGTTACTTGGAGTTTCGAGGTCAGCCAGGTCAAAGCCTGCCACAAGTCGTCACCATAGGTTGGCAGTCGCCGTCGTTGTGAATCAGAGAGAGATTTGTCACCATGCGACTAGTTTGGTACCAGGACGGTGAAGGATCCTTATATTGGTTTACTCTTAGCTGGGCTTTCTGATGAAAATGCCGGACTCCTTCTCAGCTTGGGAGACCCTACCAAGAGGATTAATCCACCCACTCTACATCACAGCTCGGCACCCAGGAGCACTTCGCAGCCACAATGAAGCGGTAAACCTTTAGAAGGACTGAAAGACCTTAGGTGGGAAGAATATAAACACCAACGTGATTGGCAGGTAGAGACGATAAAAAGGGAACAAGAAACATTAGTAATGGTGAAATACCTTTTATAATGGCGTTGAGGTGATATTACAGAAAAATAATGATACCATACGTTCTTGGCTACGAGGCGTCGTCGGCCAGAAGTGGGATAACACATTGGGATGCGTCCACAAATCAGTGGCAGATCTTATACACGATCACATATCGCTCAAGAAGCAAAGATTACAGATATAGAGTGCACATGGGTGGAGTGTTCCTGTCCTAAGTAAGAGTGATAAACTACATAATATATTACGAAGCTGCTACGTAAACATTAGTGGGGAACTCACGAAAACAATTTCTTGATAGAAAAGATGGAGGTAGCTTTAACATCAGTGATTATTAGAACCGTAATGTGCGTGACACGTGGTAGTGGTTAATACTGCGCATCTGGATGGAGGGCTTAAAAACTAGAGGGTACAAGATGAGGTTGTAGGGAAAAGGTGAAGACAGTGACACTAACAATTCAAGACAAGCATTAATGTCATTACTAGTAAACATCATTAACATGAAAAGCGTGCGTTGATATGGAAAAGTGGAAAAGTGAGAACTGGTCGGGTGAATAGTTGTTGCATCCTCACGTGTTCCACTAATTTTGTTGCCTTGTTTAATCGTTTGCTTTTTCACAGACACCGTATCTAACGAGATCTCGTCGTGAATGGTTGGCTGATTACGCACTTCCAGCATCAGTTCTTATTATGTCTTTCACCGGTTCCTACTGTTTCGCTGATATTGCAAGTATGCTTTTTTCGTATTATCCATAGATATAGGCACAAAGACTACCCGCAACCTACAGTTCTTTATATTCGATTTCGAATGGCTAACCATGTTGTCAATCTACCTTTTCTAGAGGATCGTTTCAAGTTGCGTGATGAGGCTCCGATCATGCGCCTAGCTGACATCTTCTCACTTCCGCCATCCGGTTACTTTGTGTGCCTTCTGTTAGGATTCTCACTGTCATTTTTATTCTTTATGGATCAGAACATCACTTCAGCCATAGTGAATAATCCACAGAACAAGTAGGTCAACTATCTACAATGCCTAAAATTTCAGTTTTTCCATGCCTAACAATTAACTAACAAATATTCGGAATAACTGCTTTTATCGCACCATCATTAAACAAATAACGTTTAGGCAGGTTTATAAAAGATCTTTTCCGTTCATCAGTCTCTCGGAAAAAATTGCTATAGAAACAGTTACAGAAGTCAAACCAGCTTATGTAGCCCTATTGATGTTAGCAAGTGCTTCAATTCATGTTTTCTCTAGGCCAGGGGTTTTTTTTCAGGCTGAAGAAGGGACAAACCCAAAACCTCGATCTGTTTGTCGTAGCACTTTTGAACGTATTTTTATCCATGTTCGGTTTACCATGGATGCATGGAGCACTGCCACATTCTCCACTCCATCTTCGAGCGTTGGCCGATGTCGAGGAGCGAGTTTCTCAGGGTCATGTACATGAAGTGTACGTTTATACGCTAGGAATAATTCAAATCTTCTAGGTATTTCCATGCCGTTTAGCTTGGAAATCGTTTTCGCTTTTGGAATGTTACTGTTTTCTTCAAAAGTAATTAATTACTTGAATTTATTCCTTTACGTTTTCATCTTACACGACCCCGAGATCACAAATTGTATGGATCCCAGCATTCCTCTTCACTTGATACGTTTCCTCGATCCGCGAAGGTTTTCGAATTTGCGTGTGGATCTGACGATGCATGAAGATTTTGTATAGTTAAATGCTAAACGAGTAGATTCTATCTGAAATCTTCGGATTACATTGCTATTGCATTCCCAGGTCTACATCACAGGAAGTAACTAGGCTTTGTGGAGCGCAACAAGCTTACCAGACAACTCCTGTCCCTGATCGAAGTCGGAACGGGGCTGCTTTGTGGAATTCGTGGTGCGTCTATCTCGGATTCTCATAAATGGTCATGCGCTACCATCCTTCAGCGTGTGAATAAGAGAAAAGGTGACGCAAACTCAAGTGGTAGCCGAATACACACTTCAAGTCGACCGATTCCGTGAATGACGGCTGCAAAAAATCGAAACGAATGGCGGAAGTGCTGCCACCCACACTATATGTGAATTCCGCTCGTATAAAAACTCTTTTTAATAAATCAGTGAAAAGGAACTGAGTCTTCAGCAGAGATTGGAGAATGAGTTCGAACCTTTTTGGTGCCATGATATCATCCACGTCAAAACATTGGAAGATTATCAAATACTCTTTGATTCAAAACAGATATTTAAATGAAATGTGAAATTGAGTTATTTTGACACTATTTTATGGAATAATTCTAGAGGGTGTCGTAGGTATTTCTACGTCATAGATGTGATTTCAGAATTATGAACGTTCGTGAGACTCGTCTGGCAACGTTGATTGCCCACGTGATGATTCTGGTCTCTACATTCTACTTGATACCGTATCCGTTACAGTTAATTCCAACATCTGTATTGCATGGATTGTTTTTATACATGGCACTCACATCGTTGTCCGGTAATGAAATGTTCGAGCGATTACTGCTGCTTATTACTGAGCAGGTAGTCATCTGTAATACGTTTATTGCATATTTCCAGAGCTTACGGCAGCATGGTATTCTGCACAGAATGGCCCATAGTCGTGACTATGCTGCGAGCAATTTCATACTAAGCGATTTAGGAAATATTAAAAGAATCATTCTAAAATGTTTCTTGCCATAATTCGGCGCAAAAAGCTTGAAAATGGCATTTATTCATAGCCCGACCATTTTTGAATCTGTAGAAAAATGTTGAACTGAATGAGTTCGTGCTGACCTTTAGATATCACCCAGAGTTGCAAACGCTCAACTAAACCGATCAGTGCGTTCTCTTTCGGATGAGGTTTGCATTCGCTTCCATTCATAGCATCGTACAGGTGACTAAATGGATGCTTGGCCTATCTATTCTCTTGATAGGCGGTCTAACCATACATCCAGCCAGTTTTTTGATCTTTCCAGGTAAATCTGGTACTAATTCGCTAGCCTCGAAGAGATTAAAAGGATATTATTAGCTCAAAGCGCATTGGCGGACCAATGGATGCATGCATTGTAGAACCCAGCAAAGCAATGTGGCACACGCGCCCAAAGGTGTCAACTGCCACTGTGAAAATGACAGAATCGCAATTTTTACTACACTAGTTCATAACGTATTGATTTGAGGACAAATTGCTTCAGCAATTCTCATTGCCAATTACTCTCCAAACAAAATCCATTAGAAAACCTTTGGTCTCTTTTGGTGTTTCTCCGTGGATATCCTTCCATTATCGAATTACTGTTTTGTCGAATAAATATGGGCTCACTCTATTAACCTAAAGTTTTTGAACAGCGGGCGCCTGTGGTGCAGCGGTCGGAGGCGCCCGCCCTGGAGCACACACGTGGAATCGATTCCCGGCGCCCATGGCACACCAAGCCTTCCATCCCTTCGGGGTCGGCATATTGGTGCCAGACATGTCTGGGAGGATAGCAGCACTGACTCAATACATCGGTAGACCACCGCGAGTTATTGTAAAGGCCAGATATGCATTCAATCACCTCCAACGATGCTTAATGAAGTCGAATGCATGGCGCATCACTCAAGGATTGATCAACGCCGAGAACCTTATCTTTTATCCTTTTAAAGCTTTTGAACAAATATCTATCAAATAAAGGGTTTTCACTGTTTCAGCAAGCCTATCCACCGACACATTATATTCGCAAGGTCCCGCAACGAAAGGTGCATCTCTTCACCGCATGTCAGTTACTGCAGTTGATCATTTTGTGCGCGTTCGGTTTTTCTCCATATCCATTTATTGAAATGGTTTTTCCTATTGTGTGCTTCTTCTTTTTACCAATTAGGTGAGTTTGTATCAGTTCCACTTATATGCCAATACGTTTTGTTTATGCGACAAAATTTTGGGATTAATCGTGTAAACTCATTCTGTCGTGAAAAGACAGTGAGAAGCCCTTCATTTCACCGTCGAAGCAAAACGTTCCGTATCATGATGCACCTTATCCTCTATTTTCTCCCATAACTTCGAACTATTCCTGGTTTCAATGTTTTAAAAATGTGGAGATAACTAAATGATACCTTAGTAAACAGTGAAGTTTGTGATGAAATCGCTGTATGCTGATGTGAAATGTGTTGACATAGGGTTAAAAGTGTTGAAGGAGTTAAAGCACGGGGGATAGATAGCACCTGATCTTTATCTATTTTTTCTTGTTTTCATTTATAGTCAATTACTATTGCCAACGAATAAAAAAGCGAGGAAAATCGGTTGAATTTAACTACAATGCGTGGTCGATCTAGTCAGCACGCTCGTATTGCTTGACATCTTCAACAGTTGCGCTTCTTTCACCAAATCACCCCACATTTTTGATGACGTCCAAAAGCTGAACACTTTAAGGTCTTAATCAAATGCTGAAACAAACTTGACAGTTGTGGAAGTTCCAAGTTTTTTAGACATACGTTAATTCCGCGTCTGATCGACTACAAATACCTGGATGCTCTAGATGGTCGTCACTGAACACATTGAGAACAGCAAGGTCTGCTCTGCTTCGACTGTTGACTTCGCGGTTATGTATGATGTATGTAATGTATGGTCGTCATCTAGATGAACCTTTAGGCATAGGTTAGGTCGTTTAGAGGACTCACTGCCTTAACATGGTATTCAATAAGTAATATGCTATTATTTCGGCAGTAATAAGCCTCCCTTGCTTAGTTTCTCTGGGATGAACCTATTATATTAGTGACATCATACGTTTCTGGGTTATGGAATTCTAGGGTTAAAGTTCGAATCAGAGATGATGGCTAGACTGAAGTTATCACGATAGTGAAATCTCTGCTAAAAGAAAACTGAAGCCAATTTTTTTCATTAATGTTGACATCATTAACTTTTCTCAAGGATTTGCGGGTAATTTGCAAGTATACTACAGTCTCTGAGGGGTGTTACTTTTTTCATTCCGAGTTCATATGGATAGCATTTTTAAACTAGAACGGTTTACCCTTCCTTTCTCGGAAAATTTCGCTCCGCCGCTATTTAATGTCAATTCTGTCAAGTACGATACTGTTAGCAGTTATTGTTGTACCTATACACATCTATACTTCTAATTTTTGTAAAGTCATTATAGGGGTGTGTGATATATTTTCTTAGGATGTTATGATGATATTGTGTATGCAGAACCACACTCACAAGCAAGCTTCCCCTTCCTTCGGATCCTTGGACGGCATATTATAACTTCGCCCACGTATTTGTTTTCTTTCTCTTTCGCTATCGTCGAATTTGGGGTAAAGCATAAGGTGGAGTTTCAGCTCTTGGAAGAAAAAACATGCGTGTGTTCACTTCATTATCACGAAAAGTTCTCTCTGTCCATCTTAAAAGTTATGACAAGCTCAAGCTCACTTTGACTGTGACGAAATAGCAGAAAGGTACGATTTTTTGACGGAAGTCAAGATTTCATTTAATAAAGGAAACAAAGGGAGCTGAAGCAGCAGAATTTGTACTTAAGCAAAAGTCCTTGGGTTCTTAGGGCCAAAAAGCTGTGGGGTGCAACAAACGGTGACTTCTCGCCCGAATCGTTTGCATACAGAAATAAACTTGTATAGATTTTTTCTTCTTTGTAATGAAGTGTTGAGGAAATTTGCACTGCGAATGTGCTGTGGTTTGCACTTGTTGTCTTTTACAATAAGATTTGTACTCAAGAGTGATATAGTGCCATATGTATTGTATCAGATTTCTATGTTAAGAATGAGCAAGTGAAGATACTGTTGCTGAGAATTCTATTGGAGTATTGGAGTGCAGTAAACAATTTTATATATAGTGTAGTGTAGTGCGTTGAATTAAAGAATTTGAACGACTTTGTAAACTAAAGGAAAAACATCATATGTTGTTCAAAAGGCTACTTTCATTCCAGCAGTAAAAAAGAAAACTGCGATTATTTGTGAACAACACCTGGTTAGCTGCTAATCGGGCATTAGCTATGAGGTTGAACTCTTATCAAGGCTCTAAACATGACCAACCCAACAGCCAAGCACGTGTAAGGCTAAGACAGTGAGATCGTTTAAAACGCGTGAGACCGTTACTCGACTTAGTCCTGTGGCAGCGAAACTATCAATCCCTAAGGGGTTCAGGAATTTATATCGGACTTATATAGGATGCTTATTGTGGTTCATGAACTGGAAACGTCTTTGACCAACTATCTCAGGATTACAACCACAACGTTGCTGAGATATTTGCAAGACTCTGGACCGCAGGTGTCCATGTTGGGGAACGAACGCGCTATTGTCCTTTCCGGGGAGTAACGCGTTCACCACCAGACCATGGGGGTCTCTCGTTTCGCCTGTGTCTCAGCTACTTCTACCGATCTTCGCCACAGCAATCACCCGTTAGCGGGATTGATCTGGGGCGCCCAAATCGGCATAGAACCCAGTTAAGCTGCGGCTGTAGTTGAAATCACAATGTTATACCTTTTTATTTTCTGCCTACTGTAATTTCTCGGCAGGGTACTAAGCGAAATACAACCACAACGTTGCTGAGATATTTGCAAAACTCTGGCAAAGATCGATAGAAATAGCTGAGAGCCAGGCGAAACAAAGGACCCGCATGGTGTGGTGGTGAACGCGTTACTCCCCGGAAAGGACAATAGCGCGTTCGTTCCCCACCATAGACACCTGCGGTCCAGAGTTTTGCAAATATCTCAGCAACGTTGTGGTTGTATCTCAGGATTTCTGGCTCTACACCAACATTCGACAAAATTTGTAAAGAAGAGAGAAAATCTTCAAGCTACACCTGAACCTGCATGCAACATCTAACATATTCATGGGAAAAGAATGCGAAAAAATCATAAAACGAAAAAAGTGCTGTTATGTTGAGATATGACGTGTATGACGTTAGCTACAAATCTAAAGGGTCATACTAAGCAACTAAGGTTAGAATGAGCGCGTATATGACTAGGAAAAAACCTCTTCATATGAGCTAAGAAGTTGTTACAAAACTGTTCTGTGGCTAGTACTTCCTGACTCCACTCTTTAGAACCACAATGATTCGAGTCGAATGTCCACCGTTGCTGTTTCCAACAATACGATCTTTACAAGTGCAGTGATTGAAATACAATGAAATGGAGAACATAGTTGTTTCTCTTCTATCGGCCTACCACGCAGGAACTTTTGTAGATGGCGAAGCTCGCAGTCTCAAGCTCGGGAATTAAACAACTTTTGATAGTAATAATGCAGTGACGGCGATTTGGAAAGATCTAGACAATGCAAGCAGTAAGGCGATTACTGTGGAGAAAAAGCGAGTTCAAAGTGGTCATCAAGAAGTGACCCTTGAGATAACAGAGCTGCTAAATCATAGGATGGTAGCGTAATGTGAAGCCGAGTGTGGTATAGAATACAACAGTAGTGGTGTATGACTCACATCTTAGACTACACATATAAGGTTATAATAACTTTAGTTGTAATAACAATACAATGAGAATAGCAGAGCACTCATGTAAGGCCATTAGAGCTTTAACTTATTGATGATTATTAAGGCAGCGATTAGCAGTGGATGCAAGTGGTGGTTATGTGAAAACAGAGCTCAAAAGTTGGAAGGTACTGCATGAGATAAGACGCTAATAGAACAAACAGAATAATGACACATGAAGCCGCGTAAGAGCATTCTAGGGTTGGCGGTTTTTTTCATTGCTTCTGAGTTTCCTAGAAAATACGTCGACAGGCGCTTCAGATAGAAAGGATGGCTAACAGTGTAGCTTTTACAGAAACTTTAGAAAAAAGCAATGTGCTTGTGCAGATAAGGAGATGTAAACAGTGCGACCAGAACTCAGGCAAATGGCATGACGCTACCCATGCACATGTTCAGACGGACGGAGAAGGTTGCAGTGTCGAATATCCAGGCGATCTGGTTTCGCCCCATGCAGAGGTGTCGAGGCAAAACAATCACGTGGCCTTGTGTCGAATAATTATATCACATCACCTGTATCACCTATCGCCACGTTGATCGTTGAATGATACCAGCGAGGGCGAGTAAATCTTCGAACTTCCTCGTCGCTTGCAAGAGTAGTCCAGAATGGATTCTGCCCGCCCTAGGAACTGGTAGAGCGTCATATTTTTATTCTAGGCTCTTCATGAAGTACTTGACCGTTTGGTCAGTGGTGTTTTTGCAGTACGTTTTACATCTCAAGAAAGCCAGTCACTAACGGTTCGTATCTATCGGTTGCCCTTTGCAAGCACTACGAGTCTGAACCACCTTATCGTTGACAGTTTGGCGTATAGAACGGCGTCTTTGAATCTTGATTGTTAGCGCAGGTCATAAGTACGGATTCCTTCCCTTATTTATGTGACGAGGGTGCCTATAGTATCGTCCTTTCTACTGCTCGTTCAATAACGCTGAGTGATTTTCAATCCTGCTTAGGTAGGAACCAGGTCTCCGACACACGTTAAAGCAGAAAGAATGATGGAGTCGAAAAGGTAGGTACGGAGTCGAACTTCTTTGTTATCCTCGCTACATCCTTTATGCTTCTGAAAGCTACCCATGCCCCTTGCTTTATTCCGCTAAACTCCGAAGCCAAGTCCCATCTAAATTCCCCGCCTAGAATGGCGTAACTAGAGCATCTGGGGATAGTCCTTTCTTTGAGCGTGAATGGGGCATACGAAACCAATCCGCCCCTCATAAACATCGTTTTTGTGAGATTTAGTCGAAGATCAATATTTCCACATGCTTTATCAAAGTCGACAAGCATACCTTCCGCTTGACTAATGTTTGGCGTTATAAGGACGATCATCAGCAAAGCGAGGATGGTGTAATTGCCGACCATCGATTTTCACTCCCATATTCCAATGTTCGCATGACGTTCTGTAGAGTG